TGAACTTTCTTATAGACTTAACCACTTAGTTTTACGATATCACCTAGCGAATATAATATTTGTCGGTCGCTTCAAGTCATTTACCGCCCCAATGCGCTTGCAAAATCGCCCTCATTTCACTGAAAACTTTTCGTGGTAACAATACACGCTTTTATTTCTAACGTCATCACTTCAATGTCATTTTCCCCGTTTCTATTCAGTAAATTCCATATCACGTACACCTGCAGTGACGGGGCTTCGCGAAATGGCCTCCGGAATCGTTGCTGATGACACCCACTGCGTGGCCGCAATGTTGCGTCACGTCCATCCGGCTTTCGATGGTCTCATTTTTGGACCGTGGACCCACGCCTAGCCACCGCGGTTAAAATGGAAAAGTTAGGCTTGACGAAGGCCAGAGGCATTGGTTTCCACCCATAGATGCGTGAACATTTAAGTGTTGTTGGAAGGTTATTAGCCTGAGGCGGGGTCGGTAATAGAAAAGTGACCTAAAGTCATCCATTTGAATGTTAACGATCTCCCGCAACGGTTTCTGAAACTGTCTTGTATCAGAATTAGCACATTTTTAAGTTACGAAGACCTGTAAAATTTATTTGAACGGCAGTAAATTTTTTTTGTGAATTTTTTTTCTGAAGTTAGTGAGCAAACCCGTTTTCGAATCTGTTTTCTTAAGTTGCCGCTGCATTATCCTCCGTGTAGCCCCATTAGCATTTCCATTAGAATAATAGCATTGGCTAAAAAATGCAAGTGAGGAAATATTAAAATTTCATGGATACCATCACAGTTTGTTCTTCTGTGATATAATCTGGCGATTTTGACGAAATTTTACAACCGTAAAAAGTGGTAGGATGTTTTGACGGGCGTCGTTGAAATTTGTAATCGCTAGATATTGACAGTTACAACGGGATTGCGCACAATATTATTTTGGTTAGAATGGCTAGCCCGCAAGGTCTTTTGGTTGAAAAGATTTTCTTGATGTGATGGCTATTACTTGCATAAATTATGCACACGGACTGTTTTGTCATGTGGCCAAATAAATATAGTGAACCATCATCGAAGCTGCAATGCTAAGTTTCTGAAATAGCAGCAGAAAAAAACAGCCTTTCATGTTTCTGTCATCATGGTCACAATCGCATCTCTCTCGCTGCAGAAAAACACTTCGCAGCCCTTGATTGTCTGAGTTCCAATTTATCGGTCGGCAAGACGTCACTGCTTCTTGCTTGTGAGCTATAAATGTGTCCATTTACTCTTGCATGAGAGCCAAATCTTCAAGCAAGCAATCCTACATGGTCATTGATCGATTCTATGAATTTTAGTCTACAGAATCTTCAAAATATAGTTCCCAAGTTTGATTATAGTTCCCAAGTTTGGAAGTGTTCCAAATTTTATTATCTATGTAAACAGTTGTTAATCGTCTATTCATTCACTCACGCGGTTCATTTGTTCAACAATTTTTCTACCACATTGCTGACAGATACACCCAATTGAGAAAAAAGGCACGTCTCCTGGTCCTTTTGATCCATGTATACGCCTTGATATTAATTAACTACAGCAATTTCTTGCAATATCGACGACAGTAGGATTTTAAGATGAATCGAAGTTATTAATGTGGATTCTGAATTTAACAATGTTGATGCCTTTGCGCAGTGAAAGCAACTGTCTTCTAGTCGATTTCTTCATGCGCTTAGTTCATGTAATCGCAATCAAGCCGGGTGCGGTTTCCTTAGTAACTCGTATGCCGCAAATGTGTTCCAGCAGAGAAAACTTAGCCCTGATTACAAAAGGGCTTGCCCACGCACGCGTTGCTCAATGTGCCATTAGGGCGCAGTTTTGGTGGCTGGTCACCGCGCTTCCTGTCCTGGAAGCTTTCCCATTCTCTGCAACCTAAATTGTTTAACGCCACGGAATAATTGTTCGGTAGCTTCACGCCACGAATTTCCGAAGGTTGTAAGGAGCGTACACCTGACCTGATTTATCGTAATTTTTTTCTAACTTGAGTTACCCAGCTGAGTCATTTGATCGCTGGACTTTGAGAATGTTTAGTAACGAAATTGCGTTAGACATACTAACTACAAAACTTATTTCTTTTATTTGAATTGTTGCATTCACAATATTCTTTGTCTAGCGTGTGAAAATTTAATAGGTTGTTTGTTGAGAGAAATAAAGTGACCGCGCCACTAATGCTTCCAGTATTCGCACTTTCCAAATGCGTCTCTTGAGCTCTGTGATTAATGACTTGCTAGCAGAGATAGGAACGATGATTTTTCTTTCTTGTGAACGTTTGTTTCTTGCTAATTATTCTTCTCCGCAGCGTGACATTCATGAATATTGCATGCATATGAAGGAATCGGATATGCAAGTAGAGTTGCATGCTGCCAACTGCATTCTAATTTCGAGCTTACTTTCTTTGAAAATAAATCTAATCGACTGAACTTGTTGCAGCACTAGTGAGCCGATTTAAAGATATTAACTTCAAAATTTCTTTGACTTTTATACGTTTCACTGTATATTTGAAAAATTTGGCTGGCGTACTGCTATAATCCTGCATAAATTTACAAAAACTTAGTAATTTTTAGCTTGATGAAATATAAGAGATAGAACACAATGATATACTAACGAGATGTAGGTTGTCTAATAATTTAGATGCATCGTTCAGGTTGCAAATTATTTTGACGACGTATTAAATCTCAGCAACAGAATTTTTCTTTGACGGTTGCACTATGCACAACAAATAGGCGAGACATAATTACTGGCTTCATAAAACTAATTTAAAATTCTGATCAGAACTCGGTTGCCGAATAACTGATGAGAGTTTCGGTGTACATTGTACATGTATAATGGTTCACTACGTCGCCGTTATTCATATCGGCCATTCGAGGGGGTCATGACGGACATAATCCTTTGATGGACGACATGGGCCACCTCTCACTAAGTGCCAGAGCTCGTATAGAAAGGGAGGGAGGTAGCGCTGGTAACGCTGACCACGCGTGACGCTTTGACCTCGGGCGCGGCCTTCCATGCCCATCATTGCTTCGAATTTTTTTCAGATGAAAAGTTTGAAGCTTTGAAAATAGGGTGAAAGTGTCCTCGTGCTCCCGCTCCTCGTTGATTTTTGATCATCGCGATTTGGCTTAGTTTCGTTCGCCTTGTCTGGGTTTTCATCGTAATCACAGTGCAGCTTGTGTTATTCGATGCACCGTAGAAAAAAAATATTTTTTACTCGAATGCTTTAATGATTTCACCTTGAACATATTTAACATGTGATAAAAAATTGAGAGCGATGGTAAAATTTACCCCCATACTTAACTTAATTGTTTAATCTATTTTAACGATTAATTTATAATGATTATTTGACTTGTTTGATGTATTGATGAGCAAAATTCGATTGCCTACCTGATTTTTTGAGAATTTATATATTTTTTTCTCTCTTTTTGCATTCATTTGAAATGGAATGTCACAGAAATCGCATCCCTTTACGTTGGTTAGGCATAATAGTATGGCGCTTTCGATGGTTCATCGAACGTTTTCAAATAACTTGGGACCAATTTAACCAATTTTTTCCGTACTTTGTTGAACGCTCTACGATTTAACGATTCCTTCATTTGTACTTATCACGTAAGTTGTTGATCAATCTTCTCGATTGGTACAATAAATGTATGCTTCTATCATACTTAGTTGAAATGCATTTGAAACAAAGCTTTTATTCCGAATCCGCCTCAAGAGTTTTTCACTCTGCTGGGTAATATATAGATAGATACGTTCGCCTTGGACTAGATTTGTCGTACTGATCGTTAGGCGAACATTTTCTATAGATATTTGACTAGGCATCCTAGGGCAAACAGCGCTGCCCTGCCACCCATATAGCCTGTGATCAACTCCGGATGAACGACTGGCTGGAAAAAGAAATTCCCGTAGGTCGCTAACACGAAAATTGGAAACTGCCTTGAATGCCGGAATAAATTTTTCCTCGTATTACAAGGCAGAGAATAAGAGATCCTGGTCAAGTCTGCGTTATTGCTTTCCATTCAAAGTCTCGCAAGAGTGCGATTGTGTCATGAAGTGTTATTTTGAGCATAATTTGTTTTAAAATGGAATCATTTTGTGCGGAAGTGTTCGTTTTACATGCATAGTCCCAGCAACTGCATGTTTCTCATGTCATGCTGATGGTCATTAGTTCTTTATTCTTTCTTTATTCGTATCATTAGCGATTATCGAGGTTAAATAAACATTTTATTGCTTATAATTTTTTTCAAATTTAGTTGTTAAGACTCGTGTTTAGGTTGATTCCATTTCTCAATTGTAATGTATGGTGCAGGTTCTCAGTCCCAATAATAATTATTTCAAACTACAAATTTTAAATTGTTGAATAAGTCGGGGGCTTTTTTTCGATCACCAATTTTTCAAAACAATTGCAACCCTGCATTTATCAATTACTCTTTTTACAGCTCTCTTAGCTCAGTCAGCAAAACAAAATAAGAAGTAATAGTAAATTTAATCTACACCTCAACGCCTGATATGCTCATCTTTTATCTCGCATCAGAAACAGATATTTCTCGGATGAACGAATTGTTGGACATTTCTCGTCTAGTCTATCGACAGCTTGCCCGAATTTCTAGTATTTCTCCATTGGATTCAAAGCTCGGCCTATCAAAATATTTTATTTCGATGACGGAACGATGGCACTTGACAAGGCTCTTAGGCTTCAATAATTATTTAATTGACGATCTGACGATTATTTCTATTAGAGCTGAAAATCTTATTAAAATGCCTCACTCTATTAGGTAATTCATTAACACAAAAGCGTTTTAAAATGTATTTCATCTGCCACATCAGTCGATAACGAACTTATTGAGATAGATTTCATATATCACCTGACCTGATTAATGCATTGACGTCTCGCCCATTGATATTGTTTACACTTTACAATAACAAACAAGTTCTCGATACTATATAAATATATTAGTAACGCATTTTTTAACCTCACGTTTATTTATGTTGGACAGTGAGCTCCTCAGTGGACGCACAATACCTCGGTAAGCGCATCGGTGCGCTGTCTGAACTTCAACACGGAGTCAAGGGTGAAGTCTTCGCTGTCGACTCCCGCACCATCCACGTCAAGGGCTTCTCTTACGACGGCGCAGCACCTGGTCAGTCTAATGAATATAGAATTTACAGCTCCTAATTGAACCATGAGTCTCTAGTATTTATTGAATCTCGTTGTACGGCTGCTGATCAGTCTGATTTACTCACTCTAAATTCGCATATAAATGGGATTTGTATCTTCCAGAGGATTTGTTTGAATACTCGATTTCATAGCGTATGTGAACTTGTCAAGTTGTCAATGTCTTACACTCGTGTAAGATTATGCTGAAAATTTACTCTACTTCATGGGAACGGTGAACTACTAATCAACGTTGAGAAATTTTCGTTTAAATGTAAACGTATATAAGTATATAACGAGGCTAATCGTTACATCTCCAGATGTTATATATCAAGTTAACTCGTTGGTTTGTTTACCAAAGTTGTTTATGTGGAATTTCTTTTTTTGAATTGACTCTAGTATATACGAATAATATATTCTGACCGAAAGTTCATCCAAAATCATCCAAAGCTTACCGTATGAAGGAAGCGTGTGTCTAGCGGGTATAAAGGCAGGTGCGTGTTGACAATTTTGCTCGTAAATTCTATTCAGACGTCTTCGTGGCTCATCGAAAATGAGTTTTCTTTTGTCCGATTGGAATGTGATAACAAAGAAACTGGGTTAATGAAGCTGGATTTGATCCGTCAGAACTAGGTTATGCTTTGTTACAAATTTTATTCGGTTCCTCTCGAAGCTGCTCTTCCAAAGGTTGTGCGCACTCTCACTGATAATCTTTTCATTGGTTTTTGCCTTCATAACTATTCTGGATAAGAATGAAGTTAGATAATGTATGCGTCTATTGCTTGCAGTTTTCGATTTTATTACTGTTCCACTCAAGACAGTTCATGGGCTTGATTTATTCAGCAGGGCTGTTTCTGGGAACCAAATTAATACGAGCAAAGGGTTCGCCTTGCATAGAATTGATCGATCCTAATCTTGTTGGGAGGGTTATAACCATAGAAGAAGGATCTCGAGTAAAGTTAGTATTGCTTCAACTGGAAGCAGCACGTACCCCAATGGATCATCACTTTAATGTGTAAATGACTTTTTTCGTTGATTAAATCTCTACCCCTTCGTACATCTATTCATTATAAGCAATTATAGCACGAAGAGTAGAGTTTAACTAACGATGTGTCGAGAACAAAATTAAAGAATTCAGCGGTTATTGACTCTCATTACTCAACAGATGCCTTCTTCTACGGCGGTTTCAGCGGAAGGCCGAGCGACGAAGGTTTCATCATCCCTGATGAAAATGGAAGGCAAGTGACTCGTAACGATTGATCAACGAGCAAGTCAAGAGATGATGTGTATTCACTTAGTTTGAGTTTAACATTAGATTAGGTGTTCAGTTAGAAATGTATTTATTATAGGAAGCAAATTTAACCAAGTATTTCCCAAGGCCATTTTATCTCTTCCTGTGAATTCACGGTAAAAAATTAGTTGAGAATGCATTGTGGATTTTTTAAGGGATATGGATTAAAATTAAATTCAGGAGTTGGCTGAGAACGTCGCTTCAAATCTGTGTGTAGTACATTTCTTCAATTTATTTTTAGATTTCCTCGCACATCAACTAACTTATACCTACTAGATAAATGATCTGTCCACGTAGGTAATTTTTTTAATGTACATTAATGCCCAGTTACTATGAATTCATTAGTCACTCTTTCATCAACTTTTTTTACTGCCCTTCTTTGCAAGGAAGAATCGGTAGAGGATAACAATGCACGAATCGTCGATTAAAACCCAATTCCTTATTGAACTATTCTTAACGCCGTAGATTTGTTTTGTAACGATTTTCCCGGCCACGTCTCTTGCAGCACTCAGCCACTAAAGCGCTACCGCAACAAGGACGTGACGTTGACGTTGCCTGAAGGCATCACGCTCAAGGATGTCAAATGGATCTCAGTTTGGTGTCGGGCTTTTGCGGTGAGTCAAGAAATATTATTCTTTGTTCTTCCAACGTTATAAAAAAATTTAGTTTGCGGCTGATGAAAGCGACATGGCTATGTTTAGCTCTTGCGAACGTTATTTATTGCAGTTATTATAAGCTCATTGAACCAAATGAGTTTAAATTCAAGACACGTATGTACCTAGGAGTGGTAAGAAAGCTTGAAGGCCAATACAGACGTGTCAATTCATGGAACATTCGCCCAGTCAAGATAGAGTCGTTAAAGCTCTGAAATCCTAATGATTTCAATAATAGATTATGCTCCACAAAATTCATAAACTTGTTTATAAGAACATCGACAAAGGACTGTTTGAATTTCAGATTGATTTCGGACACGTAGTCGTGCCATCCGGCCTCCAGTATCCTCGACCACAGAAGATCAATGCGCTCTCCACCCTCGATCACGGCGTTTCATCTGACCGCTTGGTGGTTGTCGACGCACAGACTTTCCTCATCCCCAACTTCAGCTACGACGGAGCGGCCCCTGGTGGGTTTTCATCTTCCTCTAGACCCAAAAACCAGAATTCTGGCGGCAGCCTCAGTTTCCCGAGTAGCTCGAGCAGGTCCAGGTTTAACGATAAGTCGAGCGGCGAGAAGCAGCCAATTAGATTCCCGTCAACTGGTTACACATTCGACGCTCCGTCGAGGCCATTCAGTGATACGTTTGGGCTCAGTAATTCTGGCAGTGCTAGAGGAGTTGGTGCCGGGGGCAGTGGCCAATTCGATCAATATTCAGGATCTGCTCAGAGTGTATTCGGTAGCGCAAGAGCGGCTGGAAGTGGCGGGTATGCCGGCCAAACTGTCGATAGCCGTAAATCTTCTTCCAGTGATCTTGCTTTCCAGCATTTTCGTGGATAGAGTATTCGCATAAGTTACATATAATAACGCGTCGGAGTTCAGAAATTTCGAGTTAATTGTGGATATGTACTTATTTTCGTCGATCCATAGCTCCGAGTGATGCTAAAAATGTATGTGTTATCAATGCTACGTACAAATAATTGACATGTTACCTAATTACATTCTATAATTGTATACATTCTATAGAATCTTGGAGGCTACTACATGGGTATCAAGTGCACACGCACTTAGTTATAAATTTAATAATATAAGAGATTTCCTATCTGTAGCTTTCTCGCCCTCTCAATAATCACTTCTGTACCGCTCCTACTGCTGCTTCTTGTAGTGGAAATGTCGACGGGCTAACACCCCTCGTACGTAAAATGAATCTTCTTATTCTCTCAACCTATTACACGTGTCTCTATATAATGTCTACTGGCTATGATGAGGCTGTGTATGCTTTTCTTTGCAATACCACTTGGTATGTAGATCACTAGTATAAGTTTGATAGTACCTATGTATTTATCTATTTATTCTTCTTGTAGTTTTTTTCTATTAATTTAAACGATCTAAAGCTTGTCTCTTTCTCTTAAGCTATAGCTTAAGCTGTAAACTGTTAACTTCATGAAAATAAATAGAAAATGTTTTTTTAATTAAAAATATTTTATGAAATTTTGAAGCTGTCTTGGGATATTGCAATTATTGATTCAATGCCAACTCTTCTTCTCTCACCATTACCGTTTGAATGGCTATTTGAATGTAGTCACCTGGCTACAAAAATTTTGTTTCCTGTATTAAAAAAACAAGCGTGGGCGTTGTACAGACGGCGATTTGTATAAAAAATTCTGAATTTCTAACTGTAACAAATCGATTTAGCAACTTTTTTTAACAAAGACGATGTTTTTCTAATTAAAATTCGACGTTTCAGCCTTGAATAATTTTATGGAAATCGTGGAGTTTTTTTTATCTAAATTAAAAGTTGTATCTCGTGTATCATTGATTTCTAATTAAGTTTCATATAGTTTTTCCCTAGACTTGTATATTCTTAACAACCTATCCATATTAAACAACCGCTGATCCATTAGCAATAACCTGGTCAATTTATTTGAATTGTTCAATATTGACTGCGATTGTTTAAATTACTGATAGTTTTAATGTTGTCTATCAAGATGTAGATGTGTACTATTCAAGTAGAACTTTTTTCTCTAGAGATTTAAATTCAGGTTATATCTGAAGGATCACACTTGCTTTCTCTCTTCTTTCTTCTGTGTTATTGTATCGTACTCGCAATCTTGTTCTCAATGATTGGATTTTCAGTAAAACGGGGTGAATTGAATGCACCCCTCGTCTTAACATAGCATGCTGCTGAAACCCTTCTGTCGCTATGCATTTTTCTCGTAATAAAGAAAACCACCACATTTAGTTGTCACTGGATTCTGTCCTTTTGGTTTAGATCAGAAAATCTATGAATTCATCTAGCGTCGTAGTTTTTTACTAGAATGGAATTTTCGTTACGACTTCTTTTTGTACATAATTTTTTCGTTGTGCATGATGAATTTGTTTTTTCAAGGAGTGTGGGATATATTGCCTTGTATTTAGTGTTCTACGATGTAAATATTGGTAAAACAGCTTTTAAATTGCGAGTCCTTTTAGCTTCTCTCTGTAGTTCATCATTAATATTTTTAAATGCTACGCGTGTGACTATTGCTTAAAATACTAACTCGTCTTTTAAAAAGAAGCCCAGTCACGCCTTTTAAAAATAATACCAGACTTCTGGGAACGTCAGAAACTTCAGATATCCTTCAGTCTCGAATAGAGCAAAAGTGTGATATCAACGGCGGCTCGAACTGACACTTTCCCTAATTTGATTCCGGTCTGGAAACTTCTGAAGGTCTAAAGGTTTTACAAAAAATAGGTTTTTATCTAGAGTTTTTTATATTGCGCAGACTTGTGGCAAACTCATCATGAGCTTCTACGATTCGAAAAATTTTTCGAAGTTTGTATTGGTCTCTTGAACTTTAATCATTCTTGTTGTCGCTCAGTAGTTGAGATTTTTCTTAGAATGATTTCAATTGGTTGACGAGTACGGAATTTACGAGTAGAACTTGTATCACATGCAGAATGTGAAGGTCGATCTATTCCTTACATTGAAAATCATCCCCAACTTTGTAAGCCTTGTGCAATTTATAATTTTGCCGTATTATCCACTTTATTCATTGTATTCCCTTTTCACTTTCGTCATCTCCAATAAGAATGCGTCAGATTAAATGTACGCAAAAACTCTCATTTCGACCAAATAGGTTAGGTTCGCCCGAAATGTTAGATTCGTTTACATGAACTTGCATTGAACTCACATTAAGTTTGAAATTATAAAATCAGATCAACACGACTCATTTCTCACGAGTTCTGTCTGCAGTTTTCTGTTCGATTGGCATTTGCACATCTGCAACCTCTTCATTTGCCTGTGTACAAGTAAGTCTCTTATTACTTCGTTGAAAATTCTTTTCTTATTTTGTAAATATTGCCTGTATAAAATATCAATACTTGTGTAAATACCTTGAGGATGCTTCTGTTTGTTCATGTATATCTGCCGTCGTATTCTTTCCTCTATAGAAAATATGCATGCTGTTTATTAGTTGGCTAATGTATGAATGCATATTTATTAAATGCTTCCATATTTCCACAGTCTTCTAAACTTTGTATATATAATAAATGCTTCCATACTTCCATAGTCTCCTAAACTTATAGTCGATTTTCATCGCACTTTTATTAATTTTTTAGCGAATCCAAAGAAAGCCATTATAAGTTGAAAGTCGAATAAGTACTATTAACCTCTAATATGGCTGAACGTATTTTACCTTCTTTTACATTCTCTTCTTAATTTTTTTGCCTTCTTATATCTTCTGAAAACTAGAAGAGGTTTTGCGTCGGATAAGCTATTATACGCAAGCTAATAAATATTAGCTTTTATACGCAAGCTATTAGGTATTAGCTATTATACCCACTTTTATTTTTTCTCACGTCGGCTTTTTTTCTGTTCAGCTTCGAAAGTGACAATGTCACAAGGTTGCCATATTATATATCTGATAAGTCTCATTTTATTTCAATCTTCAATCGAGTCCAATATGAACTCTTGTACAAAACTCGCTCGCAGTATGAAGCAGTAATCATTTGCTTCTACCTCACTGACGGAAGATAAATTAAAACTAAATGATAATTTATCGGTTTTAGACGCAGTTTATGGTATGATTGTAGAAATGGAAGAATAATCGAATTTCTACCTTTATATTTTGTATGAACTAATATTTAACGATGTATATCATCCGCTTTTCAATTCTAGACGCTCGCTTCTGGGTTGGAAGAGGCGATAAGCCAGGCTCGGACGGCACTGTTGTGCCAGACGAGAACGGCTCGACGAACCCTCTGAAGCGCTACGAGGGCAAGACGATCGTTATCACCCTGCCCGACCACCTCACGGTCTTCGACATCGACTACCTGAGTGTGTGGTGCAAGGCCTTCTTCGCTGACTTCGGAAACGTCCGCATCCCTGCGACCCTCAACGTACCGCCTTCTCTTAAGATGCTTGGTGTTGCTCCGCAGGTGAGCTTGCCGTCTTTTAAAACTTTTATTTTGCCACGATCACTCGGATTCCAATCAACGCCGAATATTTGTATGGTGCTTCAAATAATCTATTAACTTAATTGGGATACTCAACGGAAAAAATGTATGGAATAGCTAAACATTAGAATTCTAATTATTATTTTTTTTTTGCTGATTGAGATTCAGTGTTACCGAAGTGGTGTGAACCTATGAATTCTTGCCCATGAACTCGCCTGGAGATCGAACAATCAGAAATTGATTTCGATGAACAAATATCGTTGTGTTTTGGTTACATCGTACCATGAATGAAAAAATCGAGCGTGTGTCAATGTTAAGTAGCAATTAGGGCGTTCTATGACTTATTACATTCTAAATTCTTTTTAAATTGAGAAGCTACTTCCAACTTTGCACTGTGAGCATTTTCTTGTGTAATTCACATATTTCATGCGAGTTCTGCTTTTATTAATTTTTAACTTTACGACTTTTTCCCAAACACTTGTTGCTCATTAATGTGCGTAATGGTTAATTTTTTGGGTTATTTCATTGCATACCCGGAAGTACATGCTTTTGACAAGAACGTTATTCGCAATTTATTCGAGTATCAAATTGCATGTACTGAGTGATGGGCGGTTGCACTATTTCCTGGCTTGCTTCACTGGGGAAATAAAGCTGCATTGAAAATATTGCGAAAAAATTCAGTGGAAAACAAAATCTTATTATCGATTTGGTAATAATTATAAGCTATTACCATATCATCCTGCCCGCATTGGTTGATACAATTGGAAAGATTGAAACGAAACTTCGCCTTCCCCTCCCCCAAAAATGAAAGGCTAACCTCAACAGAGGAAAGTGTTGATGACGCCCTTGCCTCGCGATACAGAGTGGACTCGTTCACCTAATGCCTTAAAGTTGAGGAAATGAATTAGGTTTCCTGAACTTGATTACATTTACTTATAGGAATTTATTTCTGTAAGATTAATTGTTTACACGCAAACGTTTGCATTGGACTGCATCAGATGGCCTTAAAGGTTATCCATTCGTTATTTAAAGTCAGTTCTGAGCTCAAATTTAGTCAGAAATGGTTATTGTTTGTAATACGGCAGCCAATCTCTGAAATGATGTGGAAACTTGTTGAAAGTATCTACGGTATTAATTTGCCTCGCAGTCCGGGACTGGGAACAGTGGTTCTGCTATCCGCGACCTCCTCCAAGCTGCCCCAGCTCCTTCACTTCCTTCTCCACCCGCTTTCCAAGAAGTTACTACTTTCAGATCTCGTGTCCCACAACCCAGACTTAGTTCACCTATCAGTAATGCTCGACTCCCCGTGCCTAGACCGAATCCTACCTTACCTCAACCGCGACCAACGACACACAGGCCCTTGTCCACCACGTTCAGACCGCAACTTACGACACCTAGGCCAATACCAACTACTTTCAGACCGAAACTTACGACACCTAGGCCAATACCAACTACTTTTAGACCGCGAAATACGACACCTCGGCCAATAACAACTTTCAGACCGCGAATTACGACACCTAGGCCCATACCTACCACTTTCATACCGCTACCTACGACACGCAAGCCGATACCAACCACTCTCAGGCCGAGACTTTCGACACCTAGGGCAGTGCCAACCACCTTCAGACCGCGGCATTCGACACCCAAGCCGATTCTAACTACATTCAGACCTCGTTCCATACCACCGGCTACCACACCAGTAACGGTTAGACCTCAGCCCACACCTAGACCTCAGCCTACACCTAGACCTCAGCCTACACCTAGACCTCAGCCCACACCTAGACCTCGGCCCACACCTAGACCTCGGGTTCCTCCTAGAGTGCCAATTCTTCCAGCAGTGGCTCTGGAACCAGATGTTGTCCATGCTGAAATTTTGAATCCAGATTTTGAAAATGAAATAATTCCACTTAATGCTGCAGAGCGAAATAGAAATTTTCTGACAACAACCGGCCTTAACAGACCTCGACCTGACGTACCAAGCCCGGTGTCTCTTAAAACTGACAGAGACGACTTGGAAAATTCTAGTGGCAATGGAAATATTGCCAAAAGTATTCAAAGCTTCGAAACTGATCAGCGAAGTTTTCTTGGAAGAGATGGTCCTATCAACGAAAACTTGATTAACAACGAAATTTTTACCATCTCCCCTCTAAATCTCGGGCGGACTAATAATAACAATCTTGGTCAAAATAATAGAATATCTCCTCGAAATCAAAAGATTAATACTCATCGTAGCACAACTAATGAGAATGTACGCACCAAGAATAACCATATTGCCACACACAATCCGAACAATCCAAGTGCAATTCGAACTCCTAGGAGGAGAGTTCAGAGTGCTAACCGTAATATTAACGTAAATAATCCTCTAAGTAACAGACGACCAGTCGCTTTCTCAGGCAGCACTGTAAACCGTAACTTGAATAATGTGGGTCCAACCCAAAGCCCGACTTTGCAGAATTCGGGCAACAGAGTTGTCAATATCAATCAGCAGAATCGGCTGTCTGAAAGCGGTGATTCATTAGGCCAACAAAATGCTCTCATTAATTTTGGAGAGACCCCTGACTCTATTGCCTCCATCACTAACCCACAGCTTTCCGCTGAAATTAACCCAGGTATCTTGACTACTAACCCAGTAGCTCTTCAACCTAATCTTGTGAATACTAACACGGGTGCAAATGCGGCGACATCTTCAGACTCCGCTGCGCTGCTGACTTCCATCACTTCTTTGCTTCCTGAAGCTCCTCATAATTGGGATGCTCATCTCAAAACCAAACCCAAAAGTAACCAGCATAATTGGACTGCTGCTTCGCACGTGAAGTCCTTCGATGACAACGAGACTCGAAAGGAAGAAACTAACTTCTCATTGCAAACCAAATCGAATCTGAACAACCCAACTCCTAAGTCTCAAAATCCTCATGGTATAAAAATTCTGAAGACAACTCCCAATTTCAGTTCTCAAATCAGTAAAAGTTCCACTGATCATTCAAGGAGAAACTTCCCAAACTTTCCAGAATTTCCTGAATTTCCAGAATTGATTCCCTTCTCGAAAAATCAGCCCCTCAACCAGGGCAAATCTCTGGAAGGTAGCTTACGAGGCTCTGGCAACAATCTCGTAGCGACTCATCCTGGTTTATCACAAGGAGCATTTGGGTATAGCGTTAGTTCTTCGTACGTGTTGCCACCCAATAAAGATGGTCAAATTGGTCAAACATTCCATATTAATACCGGCGCTGCTAGGTCATCCTTCACAATTTACGGCTGATGGCGCGTGCACGTGGCATGAGCATGTATTGTAAATAGTCTAAGAATTAAGACTCGATGGTTTTCATCCTCAACTAGTATTGTATTTTCCTAACATAACCATAGTTTTCGTTGGAAGTTCTTGCTCGATTATTTTATTACGTATGCTTTTTCTAATTTTTACAATGCTATTTGTATAGATGTAAAGTTTTTGTCGCGTAATCATTGGTAAATAGGTCAAAGTGATGGATGCCGATGATAGTGTGTGTGTAAATATATATTTGACATCTTCCTAAAATCGACATGACCGGCTATAATATCTTTATCTAATGTGGTGTTTGATGAACATTAGGAATTACAGGATATTATTCCTTGGAGCTCCACTCAATTAAAATTGACTTGTAGAAAAATACTAACTGAGGATAAGGCTAGGTTAAACAGGGTCTCATCACCAACCATAAACGATGATCAAGAACATGTTTTTCTTTGAAATTTTAACGACATTATTATACTTTATACTATACTATACTTGGATTAATTATTAATTTTTATTCATTTTCAACCACTGCTTTTGCAGCTAGTTAAAATTGCATATGATGATGAAAATAAGAAATTATATTTTTATTATGTGAAATTTTTCAGTCGACTCTTACGCGAATGTAAATATGTTTAGCATCTAATATAACTCTTCGATTTAGAAGTGCCTGCTCCGCATGCACACTCCTATCATAACTCTCTTTGCTTCGATTTTTTGTAAATAAATTTTCCAAAAGTGCATAGCGTTAGGTTTATGGTTCAGAAAAAACTATTGTTTATCTTTATCTATATTAACGTGAATCACTAGTTGCATATCTAGAATTGACATCTCTAACTCGCAATCTAATACAACGAACAACTTGGACTTAAGTCGATCTTCCTGCTCTCTTCTGTAGCTCAATGTTTCATGAATTATTTCTCGAGTATAACAAAATTTACAAGCATTTTATTTGGACGAACAGACAGTCCATAACATACGCAACTTTAGACAGTGAGCGCTAGCTTTGACGAACTTAACGATTGAATACGCCGTAAATTGTAGAACCATTTTGACTTGTGACTGCTCCAAAAGTTGTGGGGTTCCGGATAGGGTGAGTTTGATTCGCATCTAAAAAAAATTATTAAGTCATACTAAATTGGCATTAATGAATACATTATCAGTAGTGCATACTTTTGAAAGTATTTTTTATTTATTAATTTATTAGTTAATTCTACAGATTCCCATGAATTCTTCGAATTTTAGAATGATTTTAAAATTGGAATGTTGAAACAGACGAAGCTGAACTGCGAGGTGTTGTACGACGACTTGGCTCTGGAGGTGCGCTGGGCTGTAGCGGGGGAGAGCATCGTCATGCAGCTGGTCGGACGTGTTGGTGAGAAGACGAGTCACTCAATGCTGCAGCAATGTAGTTGAATTTGATGTGCAAATAAGCTTTATCTGTGCATTTTTCATAGAGCAAAGGAATCTGGTAATTTAAGGTTTACTTTCTTAAGATTTTTGTATCTGAAGAGGCTCTAGGATAGTTAAATTTAAAAGTTCGCATGGAAAATATGAATAATATAATGTGTAGCGTGTGATATTAGTGATGTCCCAACGCGTTGCAACTGCATTTCCTGTATAATAAAATATTACTTGATCATCAAAATCGATGTATCCAGACGTCCACGTTCATAATATAAGAAAGCATCAAATTCATGCAGTGATAGTAATAACTCGAAAATACAACATGACCTCTCTTTTTATAAATAAGCCTTTGCCTGTGCCCTCACAGAAACGAGCGTGACTTTGTCCGTATAGCGATGCACTCTACTTTGTGTGATCATCTTGACCCAATTTGGACAGGATCAGGACAGGATGCGTGCTACATGCAGGAAGTATGCCACTATTTGGACGATGAAGCCTATTAATTATTTTTGCAGCTGACAGCGAGTACATGTCGTTCGGAGTGTCGGGGTCTGACACGAGGTCGGTGATGATAGGAGGCGATGTCGTGACGGCTTGGCTGGAACGCGATACTGGACGCGGCTTCGCAGAAGATTACTTTTTGGGTGCTAAAGCCCAGTGCCAAGGAGGCAGAGGTTCCTGCCCTGATACAGATTCTCGGGTGCGAATTCCTTGTCTCAATTACACATGATAGAGCCTTCCCCTCCTGAAAAATAGCTTGTGGTGCTAGGCAGCGAAAATTATGCTGATTAGTCTCAAAAATTTTGTCGGTCTCATCATTTTGTCAGTTTGATATCGATGATTGCATACTTGTTTTCACTTATTCTGGTTATTCTGTTGGGTCAAGTGCAAATTTTATTCCTGCAGGGAAGCAACGACGTACGACTACTGAACGCAGCTCTGATCAACGACTTCACGATGCTGACATTCCAACGGCCACTGCGTGCGACAGACGCCACCGACCGCCCCATTTACACCAACAACTCGCAGGCTGTCATTTGGGCCGTGGGACCCGTCAATGCTCAGGGCCACACGTCCTACCACACGCTCAGGACCCGAGGTCTGTGATAACTCCTCTTACCACACGCTCAGGACCCGAGGTCTGTGGTAACTCCTCTTGCCACACTCTCAGGACCCGAGGTCTGTGGTAACTTCTCTTACCACACGCTAACTACTTTTACCGTCAGCTCAGGCAGCTTCCGAGGTTTTTGGTACCACATTCAAACGCCCTCTGACAGGACCCTGTTTCTGCGATGACTTTCTCTATTACATTTCCGAGCCAGCCTCCAGTTCTGCATATTATGGAAGATGTCCATTCATAAAATTTATTACATTTGTATGCATTTCTTGCTTCATAGGCATAAAATGTTGATAAAAACCTTATATGTGAACATTTGTACTTCATTATTTAGGCGTCAGACGAAAACCATGACTAGAGGAAAAATTCGAAAGTTGGTAATTAGAATAGGTCAGGTAGTTATCGTGAAATTCGTTATTTGCTAGATGCTCAACTTTTGAGATGGTTAAAAGCTATCTTTGCCTAGATAGCAGAGCAAATTTAAAGGCAAAGGTTTTAAGCGAATTTGACTTCATTGATCTTGAATTCGTAAAAAATTTGAAATCGTCCTTGTTCGAGTGAAATCGCAAGTACAGATATCATAGTTACATTTGCCTTTAGTTTTTCTCGAACAGAACAAGCAATATAATGGACTCGTGCAAGGGCAAAAATTTAACAGCGTTGCTGCATTCAACGAAAGCGCCGAAAATTGCTTGTATTGAAAATTCCCTCATTAGACAAATTCTTAGCTACGAACGTTTATATACTAGTTTTATGAAATCCAGGTGACATGTTCGTTGACTTTGGCCGCACTCCTCGCTGGAACTGCCCTCTGCCCGACGAGCCTGTCACGCCCACACCCTCCGCCGCCCAGGCCCGCCAACCAGCCACTACCCCCGTCGCCAGTAACGTTCCCCAAGCGGTGACGCCTTCCCCCAACGCCTGGTACATCCCACCCATCCCATGTTACGAGCCTGAAGACGGAGTCTTCTATGCCCAAATTGGCCCCACCGCCGGCGAAAATGGATACAACGCTATTACTGGTTAGTTCTCTTTGCTTTCTTCCTTGTATCTTAATTTTCTTGAACTATTCATGTTCTGAATGGACGGAGTTAAATAACGAGAATTCTTGAGTGAGAAGTAAAATTTGTACTGCCGCAGGACACGTGGGTTGGGGCGTCGCTTTTTACATCAACGGACTTCTGATCCCTGAGATCCACGTGGTGCGCGGCAAGAGTTACACGTTCGTGGTCGAGGGAGGCTACGATGAAGCGAACCCATCTCGCTCTCACCCTCTCTACATCACCGATGACCCCGAGGGAGGATACGAGCATAAATCTCCTCAGGAACGAGCGGTCAGATTTCTGTCCGAAGCCTTCATTTCCTGTCGGTTGCTTTCATTCCTATCGGACTTGTTGAAAAGTTCCTGACGCCCGAATATAATCATTTACTGCTTTGATGATGAGTTGGGATGCTATATATTATTACATTGACTCTGTGTTAACATAATTTTGTACGGTTCTCAATTATAGACTTGTGTCGAAGCTCAGAGTTGCTCCAGGATAGGATACACTAAAGTTATTGAAAACACAATTGAAGCGCCATGAATGTTTGATATTTTTAATGCTTTCTACTTACAAATATACTACTATCGAATTCTTCATGACCGGCAGCAAGTGAAAGTATTCGCCGGTGTAGACTTCGATGCTAACGGCAACCCGACGCCCACTTCGTTCGGGCGGCTCTGTGAGTGGAAGGCTAATCCTGACCAACCATCGGACGCCTTCACCTCCTTCGGCGCCTTCCAGCGAACCCTCAACTTGGACTGCAAGGAGGGACAGCCTGGCATCCTGCAGTGGACCCCCGATGCGAACACCCCCGACACAGTTTATTATCAGGTTATTTATTTCCAAGTCCAACTATGGTTTAGTATGTTTATTGCGCAAAACTTTACCTTCCCAATTATCCAGAAAGGTTATTCACAATGAAAGCCTAATCAAATTCTGCTGATATTTTTATTTATTTTTTCTTGAGGCCTGATACCTGTTGTTTAGTTGTATGGTGATCGAAGTGCCCAAAGGGATTAGGTAAATTTTCATAATTTTAAAATCTTTTTCTTTCTCAGTGCTTCAGCCACCGATACCTTGGATGGAAGATTCACGTTCATGATACCTGCGACGCAGCTGCTCAGCGTTCTTCACTAGGTACAGGTGGTAAATAACTGGTTTCTATCAGGCCTTTTCTCTTGTAACGCTGTAGTGTCGTGCTACACTTCCATGTTACGAGTGGTAAAGCCTTGAAACCCTAACGTTCGCGATCTACAAATGGAGGTGTTGGGAGTTCAGAAGTTTATTTTTCTACCTATCGATTTGAAGTGTTGCCTCACGATTTAATAATTCAAGGCACTTTATTTGAACTTGGATACGTTTAATTGTTCCGTTCTTCTATCATGAATCGTTCTTTTTTAAAAAATTATTCATGTCGAGATTTTTTCAAAACCGATGAAGATCAGAAATCTAAGTTGGAAAGATAGCCAGTGTTGTTTATTAGCAATTTATAATCGAAAGACTAAGTGTGCAACTCTCATAACGGTACTACACGGTAGCTGTAAATAAATTCGGCTTGTGAAAAAAGAAATTTCAGCAAACATTATATGGTTTTAACCTAGCCATTAATTTTGATAAATATGTTTGCTGGAAAGTAGATAGGTTTATTGCTTCCATTATCATGCTGAAAATGCTATTCCGAAGGCTGGGTTCTCATCTTTGCGTTCCTTATTCTATATTAAAATTAGAATCGTTCGATGCAATTTTTTTAGAATGGTTCTTGATATCCTGAATGACTCTAGTTTCCGCCTCCTACGTTTTCTTTTTTTTTTTATAACCTTTAATGGGCACATAGATACAAGCAACCATAAGTTAAAAGAAACTTCTTTTCGTCATGAACGATTGTCTGCAGAGAATTGTAAAAAAAAAAGTTGATACGCTATCGACCTCTTGAATCGTGTACTTTTCCTGACATTTTTTTTATGCTGTTTTCCGATTTTTTTTTATTTTAAATTTCTCATGTTTGGACATGAAGGCATAGAATTCAATTTTTTTTACTATGGGATTTGCCGTTGGCTAAAGGGTTTTCAATAACCTGTGCATTGTGCAAATCTAGAGTATTTCTCACGGTTTGCTGGTGAAAGTTCTAAAGGAACTTTAATATTGCACATAGGTTAACCCTCAGTGGGAAAATCAAGTTGTAAGTTTCCTCATTCCTCTTCTATGCCTGAAACAAACACTGGTTATGCTTATAAAGTCTAGAAGTTTAGTCACGTCATGATCTTGAATTATTTGAGTCCCTATACCCTCCCACTTCACTGCCTCTCCCTCTGAAAATTAAACGTTGGCCAGCAAAGCGAGCGTTCATCTGCCGCTTGTGCTCCTGTAACTATTTCCACCAGAGCCAGTAACTGAAGCTAAATACTTATCCTGAATCTCTACTATTTATGTATTTATTTGCGATTTTTGAACTTGGAACGCTTTTAGTTTCGATCCAGTTCCTTAAATTACGCCAGGCATTATTGGGATTTACTCAGAGGCAACTGTTCTGTCTCCAAATTTCAGGCCTTTGCCTCTTGGTGACTTTTGTTGTTAAAGTTTCGATTAAAGTAAATTACATTTTCTATGCATCTGACAGTGGAAATGATTCTATTCATAGGCCGCATGAATCATCAGCGTATTATCCGCACCGCACTTTTAGAATATAATTTTACGGTTCTTGTGATCTGTATTTTTTATTTCCTTTTCAATACGTTTTTGTGAACTTAGATTTATAGTTACTCTTTTGAGTTGAATGTAACAAATAAACCCTTGTTAATCCTAACTTCTGCTGTGTTTTTTCTTCACCTATGAATCTTCTTCGAAATTCGTGGGCCATTGGTGCTTTCTACGCAACGTTGAATATCGCTTCTAGACAACCTGTAGAAGTGAGTGACTGGCTGCCTTACCCAGATATGATTTACTGATGGCTTGTGCTGAATGCGGGCATTGATGCATTCTTTTTGTAAGAGACCAGAATTTTTACAGCTTGTAAAAGATTTGAACGATGGGATACCATTCCGATGAAAAATTTGAAAAATATAATCGACTGAATAAAATGCATACGTTTCGAAGAAAGAATTAGCAAGTTATTATTCATATTATCTCTGCACTGTAGGGCTTAATCATGTTTTTTTTGTAATTATCATCCCACCTCTAAATATTGCGCTTGAGTGCATCGCACTGCGCTTGAGTGCATTTTATATTAAATTTTGCTCATTTTACCTTGACCATTGGGGGGTAATGACCACCCGACACTTCCCGAAACTGTGAACCTGAACAAAAATTATTGCATCACGTCTTCAGGACAGCTTAGGACAAATTCTAATGCTAATTAGTTGTTTCTTGACAGACTATGGAGACGACTACCATACCGAAGACCAATCTGAACTAGCTACTGGCAGTTCGAATACCAGACAGACTGTTATTGACCTGTCGACTGCTGGGTTTGTATCTAGAAGAAAGACGATTAATAACAGAGAAAATGAAGATTTGGAATCGCCACTTCACCCACAGACAAAGAAATTTGCCTCCAGAAGCGATCAGTCAATTTTTTCTGATACAAATAACCGACGATCGGGTTTTTCTCGTGGAGGAGGACTTGGTAGAGGTGACGATGCAAGGAACTCCGTAGATGAATTTAGAGGTGATAGCCTTTCTAGAACAGTCGTACCCCAAAATGAAGGACCACGTAGCTGGTCGGAAGCTAATATACGGTTCGACTTCCCGAAAGATTTTGGCAAGAAATTGCCAGAGTTAAAAATTAATTCTCTCGAAGAAAGTTCGCTTCCAGAAGGTGATGAAACGGGCTTTGTTCTTAAAGAACATAAGCCTCCTGGACCTCCACCTCCATCCAAGTATGCCATAACAAACGAGTACAATTATGTTGATGTGACGAAGAATCTTCGAGAAGAAGTTCTCGACTCAAATTTGAGGGTTCGGCCTACAGATTTTCCAAAAATGGTTGGAGAAGTAGCTCTTTCCATAACGAAACCACCCACATCAGCTGCCCCAACATCATTTGCCCATGATTTTGAAAGTACTCGGTTGAGAGTTTCGAAACCCTCAAGTATTCAAGACGCGAGAGATGGTGTAATTGATCGCAGAAGACCGTTTCACGATGAAACAGAGCGTGGCTACCGGAACGACTTGTCTAAAAACAATCCCTCAAATCATGACTATGAAAATCATAACAGGGATGTAGAAACGCCAGTTCCAGTCAAAATAAACTCAAGGGTTCATGGAAACCGACAGAGAACACCGCAGAAACACAATTTTGTTAATCGCCACAATGAAGAGAAAAAACAATATGAAGATGACCGGCCTGGATTCAAACCGGAATCTGTGGTTTTCGAATCTGATTTTGTACCGATCCTCACTGAAGACAGTCCCGGTCCTCCACGCGCACTTCTGGAGTTCCAGCAAAGTCGGGATTCCTCTAGAGGTTCGAATCATGAACGTTTCCAGGAACATCATCTCCCTCCGAGATACTTTGAAGGAAACTTTGATATAGAAGATCGTCCAATAACGTCTTTGTCGCATTTCCATCCGGATTCTTTAGAGATACCTCACTTCACGAAAGGTACAAGAATAATTAGAAACCAGAGTTCAAATCAGCTAAGGGAAGTACACACTGGAGAAATAAATTTTGAGCCTGACCATGGACTTCCTCACCCGAGTTCTGAGACAATACGGCCAGCCAATATATTTAAATCTGAAGCTATTATACTTCCCGATTTTTCACGACATGGTTTAAAACCAGATAATCCTAACCTGGCTTTGTTTTCCTCCGAAAGACGTCCGACCCATAACATACGCCCAACTGCGACGCATGTATTCAGCTCTGGAAAGCCCATAGGGCAGGGTCAAATAATTAATTCTCTTGCACCAACGAGTGCACTTCAGTCTCACTTTCAGGGACCATTGCCATTTGAAAACGAGTCGCCAGGTCTATTTCAGTTACCGCACCATCTGCAAGACACGCACCAGTTAGTCCATGTTCATACTTCAATTCACCGTGCTACGCCGTTGCACATCTCTCCAGACGAACGCGCCTCCCTCAACCCTCAGGTGCTCAGGGAGGAAAGTCTTCACGTCAATGAGCTAAGAGGACCAAATGTGATAGGTTCGATTCTCAGCAACAACGTTGGAGCTGATGGTCATGGCATTTCATCTCACTTTAAGGGCCCTCAAGACCCCCCTCAAACGTTCAGTGTGCATCATGTACCTATCGATTCGGCAAACTCGTTAGTGCCTGGTACTAGCTTCCCTCAGTTGCAAAGTTTTCCTTTTTCTCATCCCGTTCCACCGAGTGGAGTTTTGCCCCCTCCAGTTCAGCTTGTGCCTGGAACAAGACCTTTCAGAAATCGACGACCTCATTTGCCCGGTCAACGTCCTCGGCATCATTCCAACCAAAATGGGCCTAGGCGAATTGTTGGCGATAGATTAAACCCTCGAATCACTAATTTCGGTGAAAACTTGCACGGTCCTGTGCGTCCAGGACAAGAACGATTTCATCGTAACAGAACCGCAGCCTCTCAAAGAATCAGAGGCCCCTTGATTCATGACAATCGTCGATTGGGCCAGCAGTTAGCTCCTCAAGTAGTCATTGAAGGCGAAAAACCCGAACTTTTAGCTGCAGGGAAGGAAAGAATATCTGCCAAGCGTAGAGCCTCTACTGCCACGAAAACAGGCGAGTCGTTCTTGCAAAATATTTGGTCAACTCTGACCGGAGGTTCCCGCGATGAAGGGAACGCTCCTCAACCGACACCAAGATTGGTAACTTAATGGCGGAAGAAACGGAGAATGAAATCGCCACATCAGTACAGTTAGATTTATTAAAATATTCGAGCTTACGAAGCTCTTAACTATAAAATTTGCGCATCAATGATGTATGAAATTTCCCATCAGATTTTCATTCGATTTCAACGTCCGAATAGGACAATAGGTGATCTGAAGCACTTAATTTCACCCTGTGACTAAGAACCGAAGGCCTGTTAGAGTTCCAAGTTGGTAGTCGAATTAAGCACAGAGTGCAATGATATGCGAAAGTAATTCGGCTAATTGAATCTCCTTATTATATTCTGCTTAGCAGAATTTAGAGAGGCAATAAGGGTAACGCCTAAATGCAAATTGAGATAATGCGTTATGAGGCTGATGCAACATCTACAGGTTGTATATATTGTATATTAGGTGCTCTGAAATCTGTTCTAATGTAACACACAGATGTGACACAGATATGTTATAATGTTACACACCTGTCATAGATTTATCGAAAAATTATTTCTACCTTAAGACCTGTCTCTACTCAAGACTCCATTCTTTTGATTGCATTCACACTGTACTCATTAAACATTTCGTCAAGAGCATGAATTTACTTAACTTACTGGTCATGCGTGAAGTGTTCACAGAGGATTTAAATCCTTTCTCGTAGAGGAAGTCTTAATTCAAGTTTTTCGTCCATGTTCTTGAACTTCGTGCCTCTTCAATTTTTTTTTTTTTGGAAATTCGGCGTCATTAAAGCCGCACAACCTCATCTGATGTTAATGGTCTGGGAAGGAATTCTTTTTCATCTTACCTTGAATTCTCACAGTTAATATATAAAGTAATTATCTAGAATTGCAATAGCTAGACTGCCTGTCACGGTCGGCATAAATCGTTGGAACACTTTAGGAAGTCGACAAGTCAGCATTTACATCACAGTGAATATGGGCAACTTTAATCTCGTTCTTGCTACTTTCCTCTCAGATCTCCTAGAAATTTCTTCCCATATCAAATCGCGAAATCTCGAAGCGCAAGTTTATCCAATCTCTGAAATCTAAATGTTTTCAAGAACGTAAGAGCTAAGTCATCTCTGGAGGATTATAGTCCCTCTGATATTGGTAAGTATATATTCACAATCACAAAATGTTTCAGTCTGCTGGGCAAAAAGTAAACAGATTTTAGAGATGCTATGACGTTTTCTGCTTTTATTTTCATAAGTTATGTTCAACCTTGAAAGTTGAGTTCCACTACCGCATCTATAATGCAAAAACGAGGTGGACCACAATAAAAACCCAACTATTTGAATGCATCGTAATTAACGGTTGCAACGCTTTCTTACAGCAACTGAGTTTTGAAACGGTCATTTCAGAACGAGTTTGTAATAGATTTGAAGTGCAGGGTCCTGGTAGACTTTGCTCGAACGCAGTTTTATTACAATTAACGGTACATTACAGTAATTAACGGAGATTTGGATAAAAAAATATACACGTTGACCTGTAAATTATAATACAGAGCCGGAATGAGATTATATATAAGCCACATGCGGGAGTCGGTCGCTTTTTTTGAATAAAAAAAACTAGGTGGTATAAAATTCTGACACTGCTGAACCTCCCGGGCACTTTTCTCACTGGTGAAGCGGTCGTTACCGGTCTCCAAGGTTAAGTTAGCCTGAGCAGATACCTCCCGAAGTAATGAAAACTCAGCTCCATGTAACTTCGCACACGTTTTCAATAGATCCTAACAATGATGTTAAGGTCATGATCATTTTTCGATTTCGCCATTGTGTGCGAGTTAGACGGCAATTATAATTATCACTTTTATAAACTCTCTACCAGAAGTAGTGTCAAGCGTGTTCTCCATGTATGACGATGACACCAAAGTTTATAATACAGTTAAGGATGCGTTTAATAAAATGCAACTGCTAAATGATCTTGATAGTTTAGTTGACTGGGCTGATGCGTGGCAGCTGCGTTTCAATGCTGACAAGTGTAAAGTACTTCACCTCGGCAAGAACAACGAATAGCAAGCTTACAGCATGAGAAGACACGGTTGCAACGAGAGGGTTATGATTGAGAAGCATAGCGTGGAAAAAGATCTTGAAGTTTGTGTCGAAGAGGAGCTAAAATTTTTCTAGGCATACTGAAACACAAGTTAATAAATCCAATAAACTGCTTGTGCTGATCAGACGCTCCTACGAGTGTAGCGGATCGCTACATAAAACTAAAATGATGTATATATATCCCGCTAACTAGAACTAATTTAACTAATTTTATATTCACCACATTAATATTAATAACTACAATATACATTAAAATCGTACATTTTAAACCATATTAAATAATTATAACATCATCATAAGAGTTTCGGAGAAAGCAGCTCAGTCGATTGCAACATGCAAGGCCTTTTCATACTGGTTCCTTTATAGCCTCTCAAATCCTAAAAGCCCATTTGCCGTCAGACATCGAACTGTCAACATCTCGCTGTCCCCTGCAACGAAACCTACAACCTGCAGCCTGTAGCCTCGGCGTCTCAAGCCCGCATCTTCCTGCCAAGCATACGTATACGACGCCTTCTTGCCGCGGTGCGTCTCCACGCCTTCCCTACGCGCCGACGCTCCTCCGCGATCCTACAGTGAACTCATACTGTAAACTCATACAGTGAGCTCATACTGTAAACTCCTACTGTGAACTCATACTGTGAACTCATACAGTGAACTCATACAGTGAACTCATTCAGAGATCTTTCGCTGGACATATTCTGTGAGTTGGAGTTGCAACCACGTACATTCAGTGACATCACATCAAGCAGGTCACGTGAGCTAAACCAATAAATCCATTTATTAATTTTTTAAAGGCCTCCCACACCCACCATTCCAACAACAAAAAAAAAGAATTGATTTTATTAATTAAAAACAGGGAATGGTTTCATGTCAATGATCAGGGCCCCGACCTTAACGCCTCTGATGGTGGCCTACACCGACTCCGAGGGTCACTGAGCTGTGACGCGAGCGAGGAGCGGGCCCACGTCGAACTTTTCTCTGACTGCTCTGAATTTATTGTGTGTTCATTTCTCCCAACCAAATTCGTCCTGCCGCTCCGTAATCCTTTCCGTCTGAAATTAGTAAATGATACAAGACGTAATTCTGTTGGCCTGAAATAATCCTCTGATGCGAGTCTAAAAAATACATATGTGTGGATAAAACTAAAATAACCCCACACGACTACCTAGTGGTAGAAATGATGAAGCTATTGTTCATCTCTGTCGTACGCCCGAACCTAGAGTTTGGAAACGTTGTGTGGTCACCGAGACTTGAAAAGGACAAAAATTTAGTAGAGTGCTCAAAGACCTGCAACAAGGATAATATTTGGCTTAAAAGGCAAGTCTTATGAACAAAGATTGAAGATTATGAAGCTTCCTAGTTTCCGTTATCGTCACCTGCGTGGTGACCTCATTGAAGTATACAAGTTTGCTCATTGTTTGCACAAGGTCCCAGAAGGATGATTAGAATTTGAAACAAGAACCAACACCAGATGCCACAGCTATAAACTGAAAAACTGCGGTGCAACTCATCCATGCGACAACACTTCTCGCTTCGAGTCACCGACATGTGGAACAGTCTCCAAGCCTCCCTGAAGATATTGTTGAAACTCCGAGTATGAACGCGTTCAAGAACAGACTAGACAGTAGACAATGCCACGCAGGAGCATATGTCTAGTCCTGAAATGCCTCGTATCCTACGGAACAACTGAAATCTTAAAACGATTATAACCTACCGTCCGTTGAAAAGATTTGATCAAAGGCCAGTCTATGCAAGAAAAATACAAGAATCGGCGACAGGCCCATCCAGGCCTATTCATCAATGCCGAAGATACTATAATACTAATACGGTCAAAATTCGCAGTGAGGGTAGTATATCTTCTATCCCACTGTAAACATTTGAACGAAACCTTAGAAATAAATTCCTAACCACCTTACTGTGACGTTAAGGTTATGGAAATTCTTTCGATTTCTCCTTCGTTCGCGTGGGGCACTTGCACGAAACCTGCGTTTCATTTTGAGCATTCAAAAAATCTATATATACACAAGTCGAATTATCTAATTGGTCAAGGATCTCATGGTCGAGTCAGAGATCATTATTATATTTTTTCGACGATGCGTGCGAAATCAAATTTGTTTCAATATTGTAAGAAAAACAATTTACTTGGATAATTCTTGACGTGAATTGCGCCAGATGGGTAAAATACATGGTTGAATTGGTAAAATATTTCAAGCCTTTAAGGCTATCTGCATATTTTGATTTAGTCCAGTATTCATAACTCATTCATCATATCCGAACAATGAATTGAGTTTGAGCTTTAGATGTCATGCGCTATTTTTGATGAAGCGAGCATCAATATTAAATTATACTATATATTATGATTCGCTTTTTATCAAAAATTTTTTCTCATGAAATTTCGGTAACACCGAAATTGAACGAGAACCATATTCTCAGTTATTGAAGCCTGTTAACCTGTGAATCGTTGCTTAGGTGAGCGATAATATATTGTTCTTGCTACTTAAGCCCTATTTTAACAGTCTAAGTGTAATGAACTACATTTATCATGTATTTATTTGGCTTCGTAGTACAGGCTTCGTGAAATTTGGACTAGATAAGATTATAAGACTGTTAAAATTTGGAATATTTTGTAGCTCAGTCTTCGTATTCATCAATTTGAATCTAGGGGGATGTTTTCTAAAAATGGTGAACTTTGTACGATATCAACTGAATTGCTCAACTTCAAATGCCAGCTAAATTTTGGAACAAAAATTTTCAGCTATATATTCTATGGGAACCTAGTACTTATCTTTACAGTCGCTAAATTCCGTTAAAAAAAACACAAAGCGGTGTCTCCCTCTCACTCAGTGGCCGATCTAAGCCAAGTGTCATTCATGAAATGAACTTGCTCATAGCTACGTGAAATACCTATTTTGGATATGAGTTTATTTATTGCTGCCTGTGCCTGATAAATGCTAAACTTTTAAGATCAATTTTTTAAATGTTACAATTGACAAAAAATGATTTATTAATATAAATATTTTACATAGCATTCAACCAAAAACAGTTGTGTTGGAAAACTTTGTCATTTGTAAATAGGCTACTTGCCATTAGGAGCCAAACACAATGCATTATAATTTCAGGAGCTGAATATTTGTGCT